TATCAGTATCTAAAACTAAAACAGATCACAAAATGTTTATAAAATGTCGACTGTGTACTCACGATAAAATATAAACGAAATACTGACAAATAACCTTAACAAGTTCTTACAACAGTGATCTTTCATTGGATTTTTAAAGTAAACATCCGTGATCTTACAACATATGCCATTTATATACGTACACAAGTGTCCTTGACTCTACTTAGCGTGTTATAGTTTTTAATTTACCACAATTAGGGCCTGTCCCACCAAATTGTAAATTGTCTGATAACAATACAACGTCTAAAACATATGATGGAAATTTTGGATTTTGTTCCCTTATCTGACAGTGACGTCATTTTTAAGCTGAGCCTCTATCAGCTATTGGTGCGACAGGCTCTTATACTATCATATTGAAAACTAAAATTGCTGTTGCCATTCGAACAATTTGGTTTATAGCACTTCGGAAACTGTGACCTAGTAACCTAAATTATTACTGATTAACTGAAAGGTTACATTTAAATAGTCGCGTGGTTAAATAAACTGACTGAGACTATCGAGACCTTTCCTTTTCTATCTCTTTCACTTCAAAGAGAAGGTAAGAGACAAATGGTACAGGAGTTTCCATTGTTGACAGCTCTGGTCCATAAGATCTGTTTTGACAATACTTTCGTCCACCTGTTCGCAATAATAATAGTGCAATAAATAGCGACGCCGCAACGTATATAGAATTGTGAACAATCGACCCTCATTGCGAACACTTGCCAAGGCGAGTTTACATGTCAACTGCCCACCTTCCTTATTTGGCGGAAAGTATACTTGTCGATTTATCCGTTGAGATGTGACAAGACCTAAGTAATAGGTGTCAAACTTTTTATTTAATCTTTAGCTCAATAGTTAATTCAAAAGAAATCTTTACTTGTAGACTAAAGTTTACTGAAATAGGTGCATAAATCTAAAGCTAGTTATTTTCCTCTCAACACATCTTGAGTTAAAGAAACGCATTTTTTGATTTTTAAAATAAGCTCTTACAAAAAAACTAGTTTTAATATCCAATATAAAGTTGTGGATACAAATCAAACCTTAATTGGGTGATCAAAAATAAAAACAAGTCGTCTAAAATATACTTAACTTCATTTCGACTAAAATATTTAATTGCTATAAAATGCAAAACCAGTGTCATGTTACAAAAATAAACTTATTTATAATATTGTGATCGAAATTAATTAACAAACAATTAACATGCCAATTAAAACATTCTTATCTTATCAGATATATTTGACATTATTATATCTTGTTAGTATAAAAACGTTGAACCTGCACTGTACAAAGCATGTGTCTTACTCCGAAAGCAATGACCTCCTTTGCGGCCGACAATACTGGTTTCATGAAAATTGTTCGAGAACCTTCTAGTGCAACATCTGTGAGGCTATATCCTTGAGAACATAAGCCAGATGAATCACCTTACAAAGATCTTTACCAGGATTACAAACATTTTATAAGCTTCTAGCAATAATCAAGATTCTTACGAATGCTATAGCATATATACGAAATTTTTAAAGGAAGGCTTCATAAATATATGTAATTTATATCTTGAAAAACGAGTAGTATAA